TGCGTGTGTGTTGTTTCAACGCCTATTCAGCAGGCGCCTGCATTTTGTACAGTTCCGTACGACACTGACAGTTTGTTCTCCTGTGAACCCCTTCGCCGCAGCGAAATGCCACCTTTCAGGGAGCGGTCCATCAATCGGGAGTTTGTACTGGCGCTGACATATGAAGAACGGTGCGTCATATAGGAGAGCCAAACAGCCAAGTAAGCTGGGCGTCTGAGCAGGATAAAAATGGCTAGACCTAACCCCAAAATACCCTGAAACAGGTTTCTTAGACGCGCGTCCTTTTCAAAATGGGGGGGGGGGGAGGGGGAGCTGGAGCCACCTGGCTGAATAGAACACTACGTCACTGTCGTCATAGATGAGGATTTATATCTTTAAATTTCCATGTTTACAAAATAGGGGTGGGGACCTTTCGTTTTCCTTTTGGAACCGATAACACTCTAGTACGAGCCACAGCTATAGTGACGGTGATTTGTTAGGGCTTAGCAGACTGTCGTAGGCTTGCTCGTCATTGGCGCCACACACAAATGGTGCTACTAGGAAACCGCAGCTGAGGTTATATGTGAAGCATCCAAAACCGCATTTCTGATTTCGGTCATAGCCCGAAGTCTTGAGGGTGAACGATCCAGTGAGTCCCAAACGGGACGGTAGTGGAAAACTATTGATCACCATTTCAGATCTAAGACATGCCCTAGCAAAATCTACAATTAATTTTTCAAAAGTTCTGCAAATGTACTTTGATGACCACAGTGTCAGATAACTTGATCATACGGGTAACTACCGACAAATTTGGTTTACTAAGCACCGAAAATCACTAATAAATATCCTTAGCAACCCACTAAATATCTACGAGATGGTGTATCCGTGTCGAAAAGACTATGGTATTCTACGCAACATGTTTGTAGACATGAATCTAACCAGTGTAAGATGTTCCACTTTTTCATTCATTTCCACCTCCCACCGGATTGCCTACATTTGATACAGCATCCAACTCCTCACTTACCATTGCCCTCCCATCGCCTAAATCATTGGCTATCATGTAAATTTTCAGTAACCAAGATTCATGTTAGCAGAAGGTTGAACAGTGAATAATTGTTGAAATGTTGACAAAACCTTGATGAAATAGTTTCATTTCAACCAGTGGCATAGATTTCTGAAGGACGGTTGGGGAACCATTGACAAATTTTGCAATCCTCCCCGAAAATATGGATGCCTCCCACGTGGGCACGTTTTTTCGCAAACTTCGCGGGAGGGATTAGCCCTGAACTGAACAGAAAACTAGGTACATCACTGATTTGTAGATCTATGTGATAAGTCACCATTCTCAACCAGGACAAGAGAAACGTAGCGTAAATTGGCGGTTCAGAACCATTATCACCTGCTACCACTCTCTTTCATGAGGAATGCCATCAGACTTCAACATCGAATTCACGGATCATTTGAATGGGAGGAAGGCTGGTCGCTTGTGACTGCTTCAGTGAGTCAACAGCCTTTTCTGTGTATTGTAAAGGCGGTTTGGATAATCACGAGTCAATTTCTACTTTGATCGGATCATCTCGCTTACTTACTCTGAACTGTCAATCGCTGCTGCTGAATCGCGGCAACGCCAACGAAGTAAACAAAGCCACAAGAATCGAATCCTAGGCAGGCATTCATGACACTGCAATGTGAATGCCGCTTGCAGTCGCAGGGCATTGAAAGTCGCCGAGCACCTCATATCAGTCGCATCGCAACAATTGGAACATGCCCTTGCGGCCAGACGAATCCCCATACCTAAATCTTTTTTCAGTATTTTATACTGACTAGCTTCGGACCCTGACAGTCCGCTGGTAAAAACGGCGAATCGGCCGACCGGACGTGCCATAGGAAATACATTGATTTGTCACCAACCTGTCACCAAATCGAGCGACCAACCAAAAATCGTGGGTAACTTTGTCGCTGGGCTGGGATGAAACCTAAAAAAGATGCTATGGTGCCGTTGGTTACGGTGAAGAGTCTTCACGAGAAGGTTTGCTTGTATTGTGTGATGTAATGTATTACCACGCAGGCATATCTGTATATCGAGACCTCACAGTAATGTACTACCACGCAGGCATATCTGTATATGGAGACCTCATATTCAGCTTCGCAGAGAATGCTGTATTATTTCGTCGCGGCTGTTGCTCAAATTGTCTGCCAAAAGCATCTGTTGGTACCAAGCTTCTTGTGAATACATACAGTTTAGTCACCAACCTTATCCACCAAGCCAGAAGATTTTACCACTTCTGTGGCAACATTTGAATGATGCTATTATGACGTCATGAATGTCTGGGTGACCTTGAAATAGCCTCGCTGAATTAGTCGGAGCATCTTCGCGGGCGTGCAGCTCAGAAACTAAAAGGATTTAGGTCTTAAGAAAGGCAGGGCTGTAAACTGCACCCAGTGATCTTCAAGGTGACTTTTTTAACTCAAATGCCAATACAAATGTGTGACACTTTCTTTAAAGGCTGCTACGCAAACGGAAATCCGTGGCCGATAGCCACAAAGCAAAGTAGGATGCACGCTGCAGTGTAACACACTGTTTGGCATATACAACACGTCTAGTGTTGATTTGGTAGTCATTTTCGGACGATCACGACGCTTTCGACTTATTTGGCTGTTGTTGATCGTCACACTTTTATAACTGTTTCAACGAGTGCTTGACGTGGAAGTGGAGGTCGGCACATTTCAGGGGCTCTTCCGAGCGTAGAAGGCTATCAATTGGTCGCGTTTTTCCCCTTATATTTTACAGCTTTGTTTTCACTTTTCGAAAAGACGTCGTGGCGAAATAACACAACTTTCTGCAGTCAGTCAACTCGTCGCTGCAAACTAGCCCGGGGTCAACAAGAAAGATAAATCGTGTGATTAAAAGCATGCAGCATACAGGAAAAACAGCAAGCAATCAAGCAAACGTAGCACGAGCGTGAAGCTTTCGATGTGTCACTAGCTCAGTTAGCTACACTCAGCCAAACATGGTTTCGTATTGTTCACTTTGGTTTCCCTTTTCTCGTGAAAAAAATACTAGAAATCTGTAGAATTAATCTAATTTTGAGCCGTAATTGTACAATGTTTTCCATGTACTAAAACTCCAGAAGGATAGGGGCCAAACTCATCGTTGAGTGGTCAAATTGAACGTGAAGGTGGGGACAGCGGCCAACCCAAAACAATGCAAATCGATAGCAGTGCTGCATCCCTCATTATTGCAAGACTGATAGTACTCAAAGCACCTCAGTTAAATAATGCCAGTGCTTGGATATCTTCTTCGCAGCCCGTAATACCATTCCTGCTGAATTTTGTTCAAATACAAACGCTGCATGATCGTTTCAATCATTCCTTCGCGCCACAGGAAATGCAGGATAAAATGTCATTCTGATGCTTATTTCACTTCTGATCGCTACTCTGTGCAGCATAAAACAAAGGGAGTGTCCGATATAATTTATATCGATGGATTATTCCAACAATTCGGGTCAATGCATCAGTCACCAACGTCCGACCCTTCAGCTGAGTGAATGCGCTGCTCTCACTGTGCTGGCAAAGCTGTTGCTGCCAAGAAAAAGCTCAGCAAGATGTGTTGATGTCAGGATGTCACGACTGGGCCGATATTTTTTCGATTCACATCGGCTAGAAACTGAAGCTCACGGAGACGCTTCCCGAAACTCGACCTCTTGGGTCCACGTTGATTGACCCTGTCACGTTGCCTGGATCAGGCTCGGGCCCCGGATTGGGTCCTGGCTCTGGATCAGGCTTCGGCACTGGAGCGGCGGCGACGCTGAGTGGACTGTGGAAGGCCATGCAGACGACGTCCCCGATGGTCAACTCCCAGAGCGAGGGTGGCCAGTCCAGCATCGCCAGCACGCAGAACAGCAACAGGAGGCAACTCATCGCTCCTGGTGGGCAAACAGCACAGACGTTGCAGCGGGCATGTCTGGTGATATGTGCTCCGCGCGCGCAGGGTTCAGGCGCAAATGAGCGAGAACAGCGCAGATGAGAATGTGCGGACGTGCAGGGGCGGAGCCAGGATTTTCTGAATGGAAGCCATGCTCAATGAGAATTCCTAATATTTTATTTGTATTTTCCGTCAGGGCTCATTTACGGTGTTCAAGGTAAAAATACAGGGCTGAGGAGGGGTCCGCCCCTTCCCCTTCCTCGGACTCACCTCCCTACTTGTGCCAATGCATGCGTGCGCTGTGCATCTGCTTATAGTCTGGTGTCTCCTGCATTATGAAACAGCACGTTTTTATCGTTCTCTTAGATCCTAATTCAGTCACCAACGGTATGAGTGCACCACGGGAAATGCACGCACACTCAGAAACATTTAGTAAACGACAGGCGCATTGCAACAAACGAAGTCTTTGGTTATTTTGCGGCCGACTCGGATATGGCCAGACGTACCTGTTGTTTCCTGATCGTGCACCTGTTGACTGCACTGACCTGTCACTGGGGCTGGCGGTATTTATCGGGTGGCAGTGTGGGGCTGTTTGGCGAGGGGAGGGAGCAACACGCCATCCGGGTGTCAGTCGTTGTCAAAACTGGCATTTCCAGCGGGACACCTTTGGTGTCGGCGACTTTAAATGTCGTCATGTGTTCCACGAAGCGGACGACGGAAAGGCTCGAGATCAGGCTCCGACGTACATGGGTGTAACCATGTGAGGCTTAGCGTGACCCGTTTCAGGGATTTCACCTCATTTAGTTAGGTATGTGTAGTCGGTGCACCGTTTGCATTTCTAGTTTGATTTAGTGCTCGCTTCTCGTTTGTTGAGTCACTTAGCTTGCGATTATCTTGAGGTCTAATTTAGCGTCAGTCAATCCATGCTATTTTGGTATTCATTTTGTATTGCTAATTTTAGTCTCTGTTCTGTCTGTTTCCGATCTGTTTAGTTCTAGGTCTAGTCTGTCCATTTCCGAGGTTTTGTTGTTTCCCTGTCAGCGTCCACGAGGAGTTGAAGCGCGGTGTTGGCGATGGGAGGTCATCAAATATAGTGCACCTAAAACCTCGGTGCCTTCGACGTGGCGGCCGTCTACATATGTATGAATTCACTTTGAGCCACTTTCCAATACAGCATACATTCTATACTCAGATAAAATTGCACGCTTGGCCATTACTGCGCTATCTCATGCCTTAAAACATTATCGAATATACTAACCCCTGTTCATTTAAAAAGATATACAACTCTTGCATCATACGAATTCACGTGCTCCTGTCCCCGTGGCACGTAGAAACTTCGCTTCATTGCGGCAGCAAAACATGGGGGGTTAAAAGGCCTCGCGTAGCGTGGCAGGGGGATACAGTCGACCGGAGCTCGATAAATCAATGTCGTTTGCCACTGTTCTAACTCACAGATATCCTCACAGGTGCCATGACGAATCGCTGGTGTCGTCAGTCGATTCATCTCCAGGGCTGTTTAACTTTGCACACTCAGTGCTGTTTAACATGTATCTACCAATATGTTTGTAAAGTAAAGGCGTAATTTCACAGCATCAGTTGAGGGGGGGGGGGGGGTAATGTGATCAGTAAAATGACGTATATTACCCAAACCCAATATCAACAAACGAGTTTCTCTTCAAACTTGGTCTACTTTATTTTCAAATTGAAGGGGGCTGAAGGCATCCTGATCCGCTGGTAAGCTACACCGCACTGCGCTACATCGGCCTCCCCCCCCCCCCCCCTCTCCTCCTACTACACCGCCCTGGTGAGCTACACTGCGTCGCGCTGAGCCGGCGGACAGTCGGGCTGCCGGTGGGGATGCGTCTCTGCAAACTCGGGCCTCGCCTCTAGTGCCGCCGTCACGCGGCACACGGTCGGGAAGCGTGACACGTCCACGCCGAACCGGTGCCGGGCGTTGTAGACCTGCGGCACAAGGCAGCAGTCGGCCAGCGTGACGGTGTCGCCGACACAGCAGGTGCCGGCTGAGGCGGCCAACAGCGGCTCGAGCGCAGCTAGCCCGGTGGCGATGGCGTCGTGCGCCCAGCGGCGCCGCTCGGCCGGCCCGCCCAGCTCCTCCAGTCGACCCAGCAGGCGCCGGTGCTGCAGCGGCTGCCGGAGGGGCAGAGCAGAGTCAGGGCAGGGCGCGTCCGTGGGCACGGTGACGACGTTACCGCCAGATTCGTTTGATCGGACTGAATGTATTTCGTACCGGGTATTATTTCTGAAGCGGCTAGCAATGGATGATGGGCATCACCCTGGCTGTATGCGCATGCTTGTACCTAACAGTCGCTGATGATAGAGATCACTGCGTCACACACGATCCTTTAGCACGTGGGTAGCTTACTGTGGAGCAATTGCAATTGCGATCGTTTGGTTATGTTTGGGTGCATCTCACTTTCATACAAGATATAGATCATCTAGATCAGACGTTCTCAACTGAGGGAAAGGGCGCTTTTAGGGGCGCTAACCTATACAAGTCAAAGCCGGGCCATGGATGCCAGCGAAGGCAATTTCTCGGGAATCGTTCAATCTGAGGCAACAACGGAGTGTAGATGAAACCATATATATCTGAGATAGTTCCTTAGATAATGAAGCAGCTTAACTTAGGACATAACAGCTCCCATTGATCTTGGATCAGGCATGATCAGACCGAAGTCCAGACCAAGCTGGTTTTTTTTAAGATTGATGTTGCTATCACTGATGACAACTTATGGACAGCTTCATGGTGCAGTTTTTTGCGCTTATCTCGAATTATTTATAACAGGGACCGCAACGGAATTTTTTCATAGACTTCTGATAGGCCAGAGTGGGCCACTGACCTTAAGTGATTCAGGTAGACGTTTTGTTTTTTAGAACATACCGCCTAGCGTAATTTTTCACGCTTATTCAAATATCAAAATAAAGCCATCTCGTGGGTATTTGGTCACCGTGATCCCCTAAAGGTCACATAAGGCCACTGACCTAAAATGTAGGTCTGGTCTGGCTCGTACCTCGACCACAACTCCCCGTCAGGCAGGCCAGACCCCACACCCGTCACCCAGGCCAGGTACCCGTACTGGCCGCCCAGGCCTAGTTCCCCAGGCCTAGTCAGGCCCAGGCCATGGTCTGACTCATACCTCGGTCTCGACCCGAGCGCAGCGCTGGGTCGCACCATACCTGCCACCTGACCCCAGTACAGCTCTCACCTGTATACCGGACACGATCATCTCGCAGATCTGCCGGACGAGCGCGCGCCGGCCGGGCTCGGCGGGCAGCAGCGGCCGCGCCGGGTATGCGTCCTCCAGGTACTCCAGGATCGCCATCGACTGGCTGATGCTGACGTCACCGTCCAGCAGCACGGGCACCTGCTGTTGCGGGCTAACGGTGGCGAACTCGGCGCGCCGCTGCTCTTCCTTCGTCAGGTCCACCGGCCGCTGCTCTGCCTCCAGCCGTTTCCAGGCCAGTGCCATGCGGACGCGCCACGAGCACGAGCTCATCCAGTACGTGTAGAGAATCATGGCCGGGGCGGGGCGGCGGCGCTGTTGGTTAGCTGGCACCCGGTCTGGCACAGCTGGCGCCCAGTCGGTCTGCGCGCACCGATATGACTGTCCGATGTAACGTTTGTGTCTGACTGGCGGAACGTCAAGGTCAAGTCGATAACGGTCTGGCGGCGGCGCGATGACCTTGCGGTCCCTCCCTCCCGCACTTATCCAAGCTGTGATAGCACGAGTACAACAGCGCTCACTGCTTTTTTTGTCTGAAAATTACCCTCGCGACAAATTGCTTCACAAAGTGCACTTAGTTTCGTCATTTCATTGCTGTATTCATTCATTTTCAAGCTGATATATATACGAAAACCATCCATGCTAATTTTGTTCGCTGCGCTCTGCTGCGGTGGGTAGATGCAGAGTAGGAGTGAGCACTACCTTTCTGCCCGTTTAAGTTCTGCAGGGGGTTTGATGCTGTCTGAAGCGTGAAGTAGTTTCGACCATCGGTGAAAAAGCTGTAGTCGGACTCGGCGTCAGGCCGTGCGCATGCATACGCGGGGCAAATGAGTCACCTGCTCGCTGAATGGCTCACTAGAACTCGACAGCGCAGGAGCCTGCCGCGAACTCCATGAAGCTACCAGAACGCGCTCATGAACTCTCATAATCTTCCCTGCAAACATTGCATCATCAGAGCACCAAAAAATGGGGAGCTTCGTCTGGATTCGGCCAAGCAGATGTCTGCTGTACGAGTGCCGGTTACATCTGCGGTGCAGCCGACGGAAAGGCCACCGCTCACCAGCCACCACCCGGGGCAAGTCCTCGGCCGGAAATCCCAGAGCAGCGCGGTACAAAAGCAGCGGACGCGGGGCGGCGCTTGCAGTGCGCTCCTGTCCGTCGAGGCGCCATGCATCTGCTGCTCGTGCTGCCACTGTTGGCGCTGCTGGCATCGGCCGGCAGCGAGCAGCCAAACTGCGACCTGAGCGATCCAGCGGCGCTCAGCCGATGCGTGAAGCTGCTATTGGAGAGCATGCGGGACGACGTGCACCGGCGGCACGACCCCTTGACGCTGGACGACGAGAAAAATTGCGACGGCGACGTCTGCCATGAGCTCACCAGCATCCGCATCTACGGTTTAGCCAGCTACAACATAGAAAACCTGCATGTTTCGTTCCCGGAGGAGACGTCACTGGCGCTGCGCGCAACCGTCAGCTGGCCGCGGCTCCGCGGGAACTTCGTCGCAGAGCTGACGGCGCAGAAGCGGATATTCGGTCGCAAGATCTCTGCGACGCTGGAGGCCGAGCCGGAGATCCGGCTGAGTGAGCCGGTCGGCGAGCTGGACGTGGCGCTGCGGCTGGACGTGTCGGAGGACGGCACCGTGGTGGCCGTGCCGCGGCGGACCGACGTGACGCTCCGCCTGTCCGACATCGACCTGGACGTGAACCTGAAGGGCGTCGGTCGCTGGGTGGATCGGCTGATCGGCAGCCCGGTCGACTCCATCGCAGAACTGGTGGTCAACCGGCTGTGGAAGAAAAAGTGGAGACCCAAGCTGGAGCAGAAGGGGGAGGAGGCGTTGAAGGAGGTGATCGCTGAGAAGCTCGGTCTCGAGCTCAGCAAGCTGCTGCACCGGGAGTAAGCAGCGCTGAACTCAGCCTCGGGAAAGTATTAGGAATGGAGTTCAAAGATTGCCGTTTGATCCTGTGTGAGAGGGCATGTAGCTGGTGGTTGTGAACGGCATTGGCTGCGACGTGTCAACGATATAATGTTGGTGAGGCACAGCAATAAAGACGTTATTGCAAACTTCGCCGTCTGTGTCCTGAACGAACATCGAATTAAACACATAGCGTGGCATTATGACACATCTTTATAAGACGTAACTTCTTAAGAATCCGAAATGCAACGTATTTATATTGTGTATTTACGATGCACGTTTCTTGAAGCGATGAAGTAATTCATAATCTCTTTATCTTTTTTTGGTTCCGCAAAAAAGGAAGATGAAAGCAAGCGACGCATGTTTGTCAGTTTACCGTAAATTGACCGTAAATTGACCGCAAACTATTTACGGTCGCGTATGATCTGACAATCTGCAAGTTTCAATTAATGAATTCAAAGTTCTCATTTCAAATGAAAAACCTTCAGTTTATCAGGAGGTGCTGTTTAATCAAGGGCCTGGTGGTAAATATCTCACTCACTCGGCACTCGATATTGCGATCCGTGCTCATACTCAAGAGTGAGAACTTTTAAGGATGCCTCTTGACGAGTAACACATTATGCCAGGGGATGTGAGCGAGGAGGAGTGAATGTCATATCAAGTGATGAATTTACTACGAATAGTTTCATATGTATGGCTTAATGTTTGATTCGAGTCAAACGGTTACAAGTTTCACGATAAAAACGAAGATGTGGCGATGATGAAACACGCCAAGAGCTTCAGAAAGGCCCACAAATTCAAACAAAACACTCTGGTGCAGAGAGAGAGAGAGAGAGAGAGAGGAGAGAGAGAGAGAGAGAGAGAGCGAGAGAGAGAGAAGAGAGAGAAGAGAGAGAGAGAGGAGAGAGAGAGGAGAGAGAGATGAGAGAGAGAGGAGAGAGAGAGAGAGGGAGAGAGGGAGAGAGAGAGAGGAGAGAGAGAGAGAGAGAGAGAGAGAGAGGAGAGAGAGAGAGAGAGAGAGACGCCTAAGGCCTATGCAGCAGGAAATGTTCCAATTTTAAGCACTTGTATTGTCGGTGAGATGTAGCTGCGAGTATGTGCAATACTTCAGTCTATGGCTCGCACTGATGACAACATAACGCATTCACTGGACGGATAGCACCGAATTGCACTCTGAACCCACGCCATTTTTTTTTCTATGCCGTTACCCAAGAACAGGTAACCAGGAGTGCCCCTCCCTCAATCCCAGCGATGCAGTAAACCGTACGTTACGACCAGAAAACATAAAATAAAGTCGCGGCACTCCCAGCTAGGAAGATGAAACAAACGTAGAGAAGCAGGCGAAGAGGTGGTGCAGACCCGAAGGGATTGTCTTATGTAATAGGTAGGGAAAATCATAGATGAGAAAGCTTAAATTAGTCATTAGCCAAAGTAAGCTAATGACAGCCCGCTATAACCGCCCAACAAGCTACAACCACTCAATTCACCGTGTTAGTAAGGGCTGTACAGTCACACAAGTCGGAGGGGCAATTACCTCTTCATTTCCGTGCTGGGTTTTGAGCTGGGTGTCCAGGGAGTCCACCCAGCTAAGCAGAGCTTGTTGCTGGGAGAACTCCCGGAGCCAGCGCCGTGAATTTGGGTATATGTGCATGACTTTAACTATATCAGAAATTCATTATGGAACATGAAGGAGGTTAAATATGAAGTGCGTTGGATATGTACAGCACAAAGGATTGCAATGTCTTCACGTATGTTGGTTACGTTAATATTTATTCACGAAATGCTTGCGGATGATGTTTTTAACGATGGTTTTTGATGCAGGGATATCAGTTATTGTTGGAAATTATGGAATCATAATGTTGTTCCACAGCTTAGGGCCAAGGCAAGATGTTGTAAATAGTCTATAATTACGATAAGAGAAAGGTTGGTCTAAATGTTTTGCTCGCCTCATATCCATGTCATTGGATTCGTAGAGATTGTAAATTAAATCGAATGATGCAGGGAGCTGTGAAGTTACAAATTTGTGCATCACAATTAACATTTGGGATTTAGCAATATCCGATAGTTTCGAAATTTTGTATCGTTTAAAGATTGGCTCTGAGCTTTGTGGAGGATACACATTTTCTACGAGACCCACAGCCCTTTTTTGCAAAATTAGTAACCCATCTAGTTAAGAAGCGTAATTTATATCCCAAATCAGGCAGCAGTAATTTAAAAAGGAAGAATCAAAGTGTTACAGAGTGGATGTGACGTTGTTTTATCAATGAAGTACCTAAGCCAACTTATTATTCCAATATTTCTACTTACTATGCTTGCAACAAAATTAGTGTGGCTTCTAAATTTAAGAGATTTGTCAATGATTACACCGAGGTATCTTATTTCTTTTTTTAATAGGTGAATTATTAATTTGCACATTTAGTTGGAAGTGCGAAGAAAGGGTAGTGTAATGCTGTGTGAATGTTTTTGACACGTTCAGGGAAAGAAAATTAGCAGCAAACCAGGAAGTCATTGGAAGCAAAAGCGTATTGACATTGTTTTGAAGTTCAACAATACTTTTATTTTTGAAAGCAATTGCGGTATCATCAGCGTAAGACAGACAAATCATGTTACTGCTTAATTTAGGCAAGTCATTTATGTACATTAAGAAGGGAATTGGGCCGAGAATGGATCCTTGGGGTACCCCCAAGTTCTTTTTTATTTTGTGTTCTTTAACATTTGGTTCTGAGTCTCCTTTTGCAAGCTCGATCCTCATCCCCAGATGGCGCAATGCGGCTTGCGGGGCACGGGCGCCGCGAGCTGGCCGCCGACCCTGCCCGGGAGGGGGGGGGGGGGGGACCGGCCGGGGAGTCCCCCGCTGCAGCCGAGGCAAGGGACGTGCGGCCGGGACGGCCCAGTGGCGTCATACGACCGCCGGCTGAGTCAGTGCAATCCCCTGTGTGATCCAGCTGTAGAGGCGAACCGGTGTGCAGCCTTTGAGGCTAGGCTTACCGCATGCGATGAGGAAAACTGGGAAGAGGCTGACGCGGTGGCGTGCATCCGCCATAACCGTTTGATACAGCCACGGCCGCCTTAAATATTTGTTTTCTTTTCTAGTATGTAGCTTTTAGTAAAAATTTTAGAACATTGAGTGTTACGTAATGCTGCAACGCTTATATCACAATACCCAAATGCGCAAATTGTCGAGAATAACATTCCTTGACAGGATCATTGCAGGATAACGTCTTGGGGCATCCATGGCCTGTGTCGTTGAATGAAAAAGCCTCCAGTGTCTCCCATTACCCTAGGATGGTCCAAGTGGGCGAAGTGAACACATTGTACCAGTCCGTTCTTTGTCTCTCCTATAATCCATGCCACGGATAATGTTGATGGTAATAACGGCGAATGCCGTACCCCCGAATCCGTCCGGGAGTTGTTATTGCTTTATGGTCAAGCGATACGTTCATCTATTAAACCGGTGTCCTGACATCATGGAAATAC